CGACTGATTGAAGTGTAAGGGAAGTCAATATTTGTACGGTACTCTTGCTAAATGCTTACTTATCGTTCTCTAGAACTTCCTTGACAGCGGCGTACAGAGTTTCATCGCTCAGCTCGGGTTTCTTGATGTTCACTGCGAAGCCGTGCTTGGCAGCGATTCTCGAGTTTTTAAACTGGTCGGCGAAAAGAGCGATCGTGATGAGCGGAACACCAGCATTGATCGCTTCCTGAAATCAGTACTGGTGCAGGAAAGAAGGGGAATTCTCATTCTTAAGTCTCACTCATCCCTGGGTATAGTTTATTGCATCTAAAACGCCAGATCGCGTACAAAATAGAAGAGTGTTTTCTAGCTAGGCGACTTGACGCGTGTTTACTTGGGGTGGGTGAGCCTGTTGTGAGAATGACCACATTTGTAAAGCCTTTGCTGCTGCTCAGTGCTGACCCAAGCTCTTTCTCCTCTCTTAGAAGGGTGCTCCGCGGGCGAGACGACCACAAGAGCAAGAGATATTTCATTGTCCGGTGAACCGCTGCTACTGAAACCGAGATCTGCTGAAGTCCTGCTCAATGTTAGAGCGAACCGTTCCTTATCCAAACGGATGAGCTATTCTGGTGGAACGTATATTACGCGGGCAGTGCCGTAGGCGGCATCAAGCGACAACTAAACAGAAGGGTCTCAAACGGAGGGGGGGGGGCTAAACCAAGCGCGGAATACGATAGCGACGACTACACGTACTGTGAAATTTCGAAATTTCTCTTTGTACCCGACTGCTAAGAGTATTGCTCGACTCCGCTCTCCGCACCAAGATATGAATCCTTCTCCCTAACAGAGTTGACCTAGAGACCACAGAGGGAAAAATTGTTACCATGTTGGGAAGTTGGTTCAGTGGCTGTGAGCCCAAACTTCGCATATTTGAACGACGACGGGATACAGCGTCGCTGGGAGAATCCTGTCAGATTGTCTACTTGGTCGCTGGGGTAGAGGGATCGTATCTGGCCATGATGGAATTTTTTCCGAGCCGCAACAGATTTTTTTCTGACTGCTGGCCTCTCCTTGCCCAGCTTTTTTTCAGAAAAAAAAGAAGAAAACTTTCTGAAAATTGGGATAAGTGTGGCAAGGTGGCAAATTTTAGGAAATCTGTAGGTAAGCTGGGGATGGAGAGAAATCATATCATAGGAGGGACTTTCGGAGGAGGTCTTGACGATACCGCCATGCTGTATGCTGGTCTCGTTGCGTGCTCTCAAATTACTTTAACACCTACATAAAGATAAATATTTCACCTGAAGACTGTTGTATCCGCCATGTGAAATGAACGCTTTGTGCGTGGATGTTGCAGAAGATCAGCTTGTGGTAACCACGAAAAAGTGTGTACATTTGGTGGAAGATGATCTGAAATGGATAGATTCGTGAGGCTTCCATAATCCTAGGAAAGAGTATAGGGGTGAAAAAAGAAAAGCTGTCATCCCTTCACCTTTTAGGTCGTCAGGCACATATCGTATCACAAATTGATAGTCAGGGAACCGAGCAAAAGCCTTCAACATGGCTGTCTTCCATTGTTCAGGCATCCATTCAGTTCGTGCTACCGACCCGAACGACATTACCACCATGCCTTTTCCTGTTTCAGCGATCTTCTTGAATTTCTGTAATTGTGTGCATTGCCCGGTACGTGTGGAAGTGAACTTTTTTCAAGTGCAAAGCTCGCGCGCTGTTTGTCGACGGGCATTCTGTATATATCCATTGTTCCTAGTTCGGTTACGAATCTCACTCTCCGGTAACACTTCGTGACACTCTTGCTGAAGCTGAGTAAAGACATCGTCCAGCACTATCCTAACAACGTCGTGAACTCCAGAAACACGGGCCTAGATGGCGTCGACACATCTTATGATCGAAGCAAACAAATGCCCCCCCCCGTCGACAAAATGCGCCGCAAAGCTCTACAGAAATTTAAGTTAAGCAGATGGAAGTCAGCTGTTGAGAAATCCTGTGTAAAAAATCCGCTGACAAAAGCATTCCGAAAAAGGTTCCTTGAAATTTAAAAGAGCCATTGTTAGCCGTATATTCTTCGCGTTTCGTCCCTTGACCACCAAATAGGATCCCTGCTACAACTTCAGACCGAGTATAATTGTGCGGTGCCTTATGCCTCTAAACACTCATTAGACACTAGTCATGTTGTGCACTTACTCCTTTCAATGGCTTGGCATCCTTATGCTCAACTCCAAGTCCACCAATGTTCACCACCTTAGCGAGTGTTGGTCTAGGGAACTCGTACAGCTCATTGCTATTAGCCATGATCTGAATGTGAAAATTGTTCCCGGATCTTCATAGAGCATTCACAAACATTTGAAGACAGAGAGATAAGTGGGGAAAATTTCAAATGTTTCCCTTACCAAAGGACATTTGCTTGCCAAATCCAAGATGTCTGGAAAGTTGGCATCCCAGTGCTCTCTCATTATGGCTGTTTCTTTGTTGACTATCATTCTAAAACGATATTGTGTTGGGTTTATACAGTCTTGATTCGCCGTGAATGCTGGCGCGGCACCGGACCCTTTTCTACCAACTGTTGTCGTTCGCTCACTTCAACAGTCGACGGAGAACGGATTGGCACCGCGCCAGACTCCGCCCCCGGCACACCCCGCATTCGCAGCGAACAAGACTCTACCACAAATTATGGAAGACCTACATGGGAAACAGTATGTTTCCAAGATTATAGCCAATGAAACTCTTTGTTCTCTCATAGAAGTTCATTTCGTCCATGCTCTCCATCATCAAGCTGAAAACGAAATGTTCGCCAGACCGATCAAGGAAATATTGAAGTTTAGTTCGTACGCAAGATGGGCACTAATTATGACAACTGCCTGATTCAGATGGAAGTAGGAAAAGGGGTGAAGAGAAAAATGAGAAGTGGACTCACGCGGAACGTAGCTGGGAAACGTTGGGACACCGACAAGACTTCCAACAGTATCCATAAGCTGCCCACTGGAAGTATGATACCGAAAGATTTGTTCCATCATTCGTTCCAGTCAGTAAATCATTAACGAAAATGAAATCTACCTCAGCAACCATATCCATGTAGGAATTTTCGCTGCATGAATCAGTGCAATCGGGCAGGTGTGATACATGTGGGCAAAGGCGATGTCGAACTTTTCATTAGTAAGCCAGTTCATGAATGTCTGGTTCTGCACAGTCACTAAATCATCATCGTTAATTCGCTTCCAGGATTACTTTGTATCAAGGGAAATCCAGGGAAAATGCTGTCTACGAAGGCTTATGACCTCACAAAATGCCCTGGATGGACGACTAGAAATTGTGCTAATAGTATGGCATGAAAGGTTTCACGCCATACTATCAAAACAATTTCAAGTCACCACAAGAATCATGAGTTATGGGCAAAAATCTTAATCCCCGAACTGAGCAGTAAAGTGGGCGGAGTCTCTTGCGCTCCGCTGGAGCCACTTTTGTAACCTTGTGCCTTAGCCCTCTCCCCTCCCTCTCACTATCTTTCCACTTTCCGATAAGACACTGGTGCAAGGCTGTCCACTACTGCCCCCCACAACATTTTCTCAATTAGGGTTCC